ACCTACTCTAATTGGTAAGGAAAGATTGGTTAATGGCGTCGAAGTGAGTATGTCTGTAGGTGACGCCTTATTTGTATGTGTTAGACGATCACGGTCGAGTGGTTAGCACTCCAGCTTCATATTCGGGAGGTGTCGGCTTCAGATCTGGGCCTGGAGACCTGATATGTTGACTGACGATTTTCGTGGTTTTCCTTAGTCCCTCCAGACTAATATCGAATAGCACCTTAAGAAGTGACTGCCATTTCGATTTAATGACGATAACTAATGAGTCATTTGAGATAGGTGAAGATTATCTTAGAATCTGACATCATTGTAAGCTGACAAATAAAACAGCCTTTGGAGTTTAGTGTCTGAAATGATGTCGGTGTTTGTTGTAACGCTTCGTGAACCAACATTTCGGGGGGAACATACGACCATGAAAATGGAGGCAGTGTGTTCCTTCTAGCCTTATAGTTTAGATTAAATCATTTGAGCGAAATCAGGAGTGGTGTCTTTTTGTGAGGTAAACGCTGGATAAGTATCTCTTTTATGTAATTAAAATTATTTCCAGTTAAGACTGGTTTCTTCTCATTTCGTTTTTTCTCACTCATAATTAAGTTACCTCTGTAGTTGAGATTCATCATCGTCAGAATGACACAAAGCTTTGAAATAATGAGCAGGTGCGTATTACTTGAACTGAGATAGCTCCGGGTGCTGAAGGTCTCGACGACCTGGGTTTGAGTCTCTGGATGTATTTAGGTCGTCTTTAACACGGCGCCACAGACACCGTGAAGAATGCGAGACTTGTACTCGTAATCCGGGTCATAGGTCATACAAGGAGGTTAAACCTGGTTGAAACAGGTTACGTGTAATAAGTATCGTGCAAAGAGTTTCCTTTTGGTCATCAGACAAGAAGAAAGCTTTGTTCTTCCGATGAGAGTGTCATCGGTAGGAAAAGCAGATGAAGATACTCGATACATCAGCTCGACGCTCAGTGCAGGCTTCAGAATTAAGTGACGATAAATTAGATATCTCTACAGGATGAGCCTATCGTATTTTAGGATTTCGTGAGTTAAAGTTTCCGAAAAAGGACAAGCGAGGCTTCGGATTTTGTGCCCTTTATTTTTATAAAAATCAGGATGTCATTCAACAGCACGTACCCCCATGGCAGAGTTCGTAACGAAACGGAATTTGTGCGAAATCTTTCGGCTCAGTTTCGTGTTAACAACTTCACAAATATCGTTTCATGCCCCTCTGTGCGAGACAGCATTTTTATTAATGGTGAAACTACAGTTTCTATTTTTATTCAACTGGTTTCCACTGCGTGTGATTCGCCTCAGAAGTGGGAGTACAAACTGTTGACACAGAACCCAGTGTGGCATATTATTTAATATCCCCTCTAGCATAAATTTTAATTTAGAATGTTACAGTGCGACTTATACTAATTATTATACCCAAAATAATCACGCCAGTCGTGCTCTAGGCCCTACCGTAAGAAATTGTGCCTTAAAATTTAATTTGAGCCCCTTAGTTTCGAATTTCCAAATTTCATCTTGTCTCAGTTTCTTTTCAATCATCCAGCGATTTAATTTCAGGGGTCTTAACGAGATAATTTACCTCCGAGCTACATGGCTAGCCCATCTTGCCTCATTGCTTACACTGTCGTAACGCTATCGGATAACGAAGTTACAGTTCCCGCTCGTAATTTATCCTTTTGTGGAATTAAAATGTTTATTACAGTGCTCACAAGAGCTCTCCACCTGTCCTTACCCGGTCCCTTATGAATCCAATCGACATTCACATCTTTTTTTCTTAAGATTCATTTTAATATTATCCTCTCATCTTTGTCTATGTGTTCCAAGCTTTCCCTTCGGGTTTCCTGACCAATTGATGCACGCGTTTTTCATCTACGTATGCATGCTACTTACCTATCCCATCTCTTTCTACTCTGTTTGATCATATTAATAATATTTTGGAACGAGTACAAGAGCGAAACTCAATATTATAAAATGTTCTCCATTATCCTACCGCTGCATCCGTCTTACATCGAATCAGATGTTATCATCATCTTCCTGTTCGCAAATACCACGAACCTGTCTTCTCGTTTTACCTTGATAGACCGAGTTTCACACCCGTAAAAAAAAACAAAATATTTCTATCGCGTCATATATTTTAATTTATGCGCTGTAAATGATGGGAGTTAACGGAGGACAAAGTTTTTCTGAACTGCGTGGTAGAAAAGATTCCTCGAATGTAATCTCGTCTTAATTCCTCCCGATGACTTTTCGCCTTGGTTTTTATATAATTGGCACTTTGCCGAATCTTGTATGGATGTATTAACTACGTTTATACGATTATCGTGTGTCGTAATCTGGTTACGACGAATTAAAAGTAACCACATCCTAATCGACTGGATTTTATTCTTTATTTGGCTGGCGATTTCAGTGGCGTATCTCGTTATTTCGATGCAAAGAAAACCGCTTTATGTGACGTAAACGTAATATGAAATTACGTCTATATTACGTTGGCTTTTCCATCAGCATTCTGGTAATGAGTGTTCCGATCACAAAGTGGCCTTTGTGCGCTGAACACGTGACAGTCCAGGTGTCTTAAAAGAGGTTGTGTTAATAGCATGTGTTCCCGAAACAAAGGAAGGTGCCTATACTGGAAACGTAAGTTATAGTAAATGAGGTGTATGCAGTTCGCCTCATTATATTTACTAAAATAGCCTTCAGATGTTGAAAACCGCTGTATCAGTGACGTAATATACTTCCTGTTAATGTTTCCTACCTGTAGGTGAGTTTAAAGGATCTGAGGTTCTCATGAAGCAAGTGTGAAGATGGATGTCTTCTGGGTTGTAGGGCCTTGTAGTCAGGTAGACGCCTCATTGCTTACACTGTCGTAACGCTATCGGATAACGAAGTTACAGTTCCCGCTCGTAATTTTCTCATCGCTTACACTGTCGTAATGCTATCAAATAACATGTATGATTGACGAAGTTACAGTTCCCGCTCGTAATTTATCCTTTTGTGGAATTAAAATGTTTATTACAGTGCTCACAAGAGCTCTCCACCTGTCCTTACCCGGTCCCTTATGAATCCAATCGACATTCACATCTTTTTTTCTTAAGATTCATTTTAATATTATCCTCTCATCTTTGTCTATGTGTTCCAAGCTTTCCCTTCGGGTTTCCTGACCAATTGATGCACGCGTTTTTCATCTACGTATGCATGCTACTTACCTATCCCATCTCTTTCTACTCTGTTTGATCATATTAATAATATTTTGGAACGAGTACAAGAGCGAAACTCAATATTATAAAATGTTCTCCATTATCCTACCGCTGCATCCGTCTTACATCGAATCAGATGTTATCATCATCTTCCTGTTCGCAAATACCACGAACCTGTCTTCTCGTTTTACCTTGATAGACCGAGTTTCACACCCGTAAAAAAAAACAAAATATTTCTATCGCGTCATATATTTTAATTTATGCGCTGTAAATGATGGGAGTTAACGGAGGACAAAGTTTTTCTGAACTGCGTGGTAGAAAAGATTCCTCGAATGTAATCTCGTCTTAATTCCTCCCGATGACTTTTCGCCTTGGTTTTTATATAATTGGCACTTTGCCGAATCTTGTATGGATTCATTAGCTACGTTTATACGATTATCGTGTGTCGTAATCTGGTTACGACGAATTAAAAGTAACCACATCCTAATCGACTGGATTTTATTCTTTATTTGGCTGGCGATTTCAGTGGCGTATCTCGTTATTTCGATGCAAAGAAAACCGCTTTATGTGACGTAAACGTAATATGAAATTACGTCTATATTACGTTGGCTTTTCCATCAGCATTCTGGTAATGAGTGTTCCGATCACAAAGTGGCCTTTGTGCGCTGAACACGTGACAGTCCAGGTGTCTTAAAAGAGGTTGTGTTAATAGCATGTGTTCCCGAAACAAAGGAAGGTGCCTATACTGGAAACGTAAGTTATAGTAAATGAGGTGTATGCAGTTCGCCTCATTATATTTACTAAAATAGCCTTCAGATGTTGAAAACCGCTGTATCAGTGACGTAATATACTTCCTGTTAATGTTTCCTACCTGTAGGTGAGTTTAAAGGATCTGAGGTTCTCATGAAGCAAGTGTGAAGATGGATGTCTTCTGGGTTGTAGGGCCTTGTAGTCAGGTAGACGTTTACCAACGTTTCAGAGGTCATTACTGCTTCCATCATCAGGGAGATTAGCAATCCTAAAGTAATAGGAGTATGGAGAAAGTTCCATACTGAGAAATCTAATTATTTTGACGTTTCGAGAACAATCTCTGCTCTCATCTTCAGGGAAATTGCGTAACAAATATGATCCTTTGTAGCGCTCTCGCCGATGGGGAAGTTAGGCGCAAATGGTAATACGATATTAGCTTAAAATGGATCGTAAATAGAATGTGAAGGAGTGGACTGGAATAAAGTGGCTAAGGATTGGTCCCGTTGTAGGGTCGATTGTAAAGGGTTCTGACCACGGTGTGTTACGGTATGGATTACTGAGTTCTTGGAGGTTGTGCATACGAGGTGCGATCGGAAAGTTTCAAGACTGTGTCAATAGCGGGCGAACCGGATGTAGTACGAGCTTCTGCCGCTAGGGGGTGCGGCCTACATTCATAGTGAATCAGTGTGCCAGCCGGCATCATCGAATTAGCATTTGTTTCTTAGTTACGGGCGTTTTGGTAGTGCATTACACCGACCCTCCTGCGATTTCGGAATGGCGTGTGCATCAAATTTTGCCAAAGACTCGCCAAAACGGCTACGGAAACCTATGAAATCCTAAAGCAAGCATTTGGGGAGTCCGCAAACTTTGGTGTGGCATTCACGTTTTAAAAATGACCGAACCTCTGTCGATGATACAAATAAAAACGTTTTGATTTTATCAGCGCGTGAATTTCGCTCTGTTGTGCCATCCGTCGTGCTGGAAAATAAGATGAGAAGGGTGTGTGGCCGAACTGACTGGGATATTCTCGTGTTTTCAGATGATGATCCAGTCCGGGTACATGCCCACGGTCCTCCAACAACTCTGCAACTTACCCTTCCCGTATTTCAGCAACCCTTCGCTTTCCTGTTTGTTGTTCCCCACACTTCTCGCCTGCTGCAGCGGCAACCAACAGAACAGAGCCATTCTTGAGCAGGAAGTCAGCTACCAGGTAAGTTAGACAACTTAGGATTGTGTAAAAATAACCTCAGCTGACGTTGTACTCCCCCATTTGACTTTACGTGCCATGACAGAAAATATAAATGGATGTCGTTTTCCCGAAGACTTCTCAGTACTCTCGTCTTTTTGCTGTAAATGTTTTCAAGCGATTCAAAAACAGGTCCTTTTAAACGAAATTTCTGGTTTTGGAAAATTTAAAAGGTCACACGGTGTCAAATTAAGTATCTGCTGTGGTTGTTCCGAGTCTGTTTTTGTTGTACAAATGTTTGCCAAAAACACTTCATGGTAAGGCGTATTGTCACGATGGAACATCGAGTGGCCTTCTCAAGATTTAATTTCTCAGATGAATGTCCTGCCGTTAAAATTCCAGAACACGAAAGTATAATGCTTTGTTTTTAGGGGACAAATCATAATGAATAATTATTTTATTAGAAAATTTATTGGGAAACCAACAACCGGAAAAGAACCATTTGAAATAAATTCATTGCAATTATAGAATTAGGGCTACTTTCAGCTGATAAGCAGGTGATGTTTAATTTCGGTAATGTTTTCACAGTTCAAATGCGTTATTGAAGTCGTTGAACTATAAAAAGGACTTAATTTCTTCGTTTTTTTTGATACTCGTGACTGTCGTATGTTTTACTGAGCCACGGAACGAGAAATTTTCTGACATTAAAACTATCACACGTTCAGAATTGTCACTCAGCGGTAAACCTCGAAGTGAATAAGCCGATATTTATATATATAGGCGAGAGATCGATTTATATCGATTTCGGGTCGTACTGACCTATATTAGTGTCCAGTGACAGTCTTTTATGAGCACGGCGATGAACCTTAAGCGACTGAACGACTATAAGCTATTGAAATAAGACTCTGTTGTAGGAACAGTTGCTTAGAATTTACGGTAAAGGGGTTAAATTTGTTGTGTGTTATATGTATGCAATTTTGCGCTTAGTATGCGGAGAAGGAGACTGCATTGTAAGCTCTCTGTATACAAGAACAAACCTAATAAACTATAGGTGATGTGCCCCATCGCTTTGTATTAGCTTCTGTTGGGAAGAAAGGCGTGTTAGTGGTGACCTCGGCAGTGTAACCCCTTTCTCCGGACAACTTGGCTAACCCGCCTTAAAAGCTTGGTAATGCTGAACTACTTTACCTGGCGGTCGTAATTAGATCAGGGGCCCCGAGTTGTATCCGCAGTGTTAGCACTTAACCAGGCTGAGCCATCCGCCTGCTTGTATAAGGCGGACGGAAGGCCAGGAAGACCGTATAGAAGCCACCCTCTTGTTGCAATACAGTAACTTATTTAGGTGACCTGATTCTCTCTTCAAAAAAACCCAAGTTCCAGTGCAGATAGCTCCTGAGTGCTGTGGTAGAAATTTTCTTTTCTGGTTGACTGACTTTGCTTTACAAAGTGTTTTGCCCAAACACTTCCTCGAGTATCGTGCGGTGAGATTGTAGTGTCTTACGTCTTACGTCACATTTGGAAGCAGTCAGTTATGACGAGTCAAGACTTTTGACATGCTGTGGGTTGTTCGAATAAAAACTAAATTCATTTCAGCATATGATCACGTTTTGCTGACCTACATTTTACAGGTGTTCTGTGTGGGTATCGTGTGTGGTCATTCCACTGTCTGTATTTGCTCGTCAGAATTGTTCTCTGTCACTTTGGAGACCTCATAGTATGTTACTAACTAGACGTATCAGGACGCAAGTATTGTTTGCCATGAATTTGAACTGGTTATCAGGAGTAATTAATTCAGAATGATATCCGATGTCCTAAACGGTGTCTCGAAGATCATCTCCTTTAAATGCACCTCATTGCTTCTATTCTGCAAACCGTTCGGATGATATTGTCGTGATATAGACATGACGTAGGCCTATCCGTGCCTTCAACGTGACATGAGTGTGGTCATTCAGATACAAGCAATTCGGCAGAATTAAGCGTTTCAAAAAATGACCTTGAAAAATGTAAGGGCCGATATTCGGCAAACCGTCGAGCCAAGACTGTCGTAACCTTATCATGACGTAGGCCTATCCGTGAACTCAACATGTCAAGATTATTGTCCTCCAGGCACATACAATACGGCATATATAGGCGTTTGAATAATTGACTCTAGAATGTACTTGAAAAATTTAAAGGCCTATAACCGGCAAACACTTGGTCTGATATAGTCGAGAAACTGACACGACCTTTAGCTATAACAGTCTTAATCGTGACATGAGTATGGTCATTCAGACAAATGTACTTCGACAGAAAAAAGATTTCGAAAAAAATGACCTTGAAATTAGTTTAAAAAATTTAAAGGCAGTCGGGCTGCCCTTGACATGAAATTGGCCTGTCCCTGACCTAAGCGTGACATGAGCATGATCAATAAGGCATATACAAGAGTAAATTGTATTTTAATTTTAAAGCAACGTTGTTATTTTGACGTTATATGCAACTGGGTTGACTGATCTGTGGAATATTCAGAGGCATCTTTACAGCTGCAAAGCTGACATAGGCATATTACACGCGTGTTAACGTGTCCCAAAAATATGTACACGCAACCATTTAATACGTCAGCATTGTGTATATATGTTTTTGGGGCATCCTGTGGTGTAATCACACCTGTAATATGAAATGTTTCAGTAAGGGTTGCCACTTTGGTAATTAGACTACTATGGTGTTGATGCAGTTGATTAATTGTTTTAAATTTCTGAAGATCCTGTCCCGATGTTGGGGGGCAGAACGTAAGAGACATCTTTAGTTGTATGCAGGCACCTGCTGTCCTCCAGTTCCAGAGTCGATGTGTTGTAATCATTGTCTTTCCTGTTCCTTCTGAAAATGTCGAAATTCCTATTTTGACTGCAGTGTTTCTGTTTATGTATGCTATTGTTAGTACTCTCATCACGTGAAGAAATTCCTCACCTTCAGATGAATCCAGTGCACGCTTTGTCTCCTTGTTTCCTTCTTATGCATTTTAATGTTGTTCTCCCATCTACACCTAGGTCTTCCGAGTTGTCTCTTCCTTCAGACTTCCTAACCAAAATTTTGTACGCATTTCTCATCTCCCCTGTGTTTGCTACATTCCACGTCCGTATTATCATCATTACACGTTTGTTCGTTTGCCCTGTCTTTACTGCTGATATCTGTAATCGATGGTTGTTCCGTTTTAACGTTTGGCCCAGAAACTGAAACGATGGGAACTTCTTGTGTTTTGAGTCTTTGCTGATGAAATTTTGAAGATGATGATGTAGAGTGTTTTGTATTCTGTCCACAGTTGCTGGAGGAATTCCAGGGCTCCGAGGTTGGCAAGAAGAACCACTTGGTGCTGTTTTTAAGTGGTGGCAGTACTGTCTGAATTTCTGTAGTGTGTATCTCTGTACATTGAAAGCGACGTTGTGTGTGTGTACGTTGTCTTATAGCTATACCGCAGAACTCGGGGTGTAAAAGCTTCCATGCGCAGTCAAGCGGTCGAAGGACATACTACAACAGCAGCTTTCTCCTTCTACAACTCCCCTTCCAGTCCGTGCAATGCGCAGAATAGTGTCCTACCTAAATCAGACTAGCTATACGTAATTTGAATATGGTTACATCTAGACAAAGAACACCAGAGTTTCCACCGATGGTTCTGCTGGAAACCTTATTACGATGAGTAGAGAATTTCGCGATGTGTTTTTGCTATTGTGGTCTTTGGCGTGTGCTGGATACTGAAGGAGCTGATGGTACCCATTATACTGTGGGGTCTAGATCTGAACTAATTATGTAATTGTACTTACTAATTTGTGATCTAGCATGAAACAGGAACATTGCATCCAAAATGTCAATATTACTGTGCATTGCTAATGCCTGAGAAGTAGCAGATTCATATGTGAGTTCTGGTCGATGTAATGATGTAATTTCGCAGAACTAACGGAAATTGGCTTATATATATTAAAGTAAGCATAACGTCACATCGAAGAAGAGTTGTGTGATTTTTCTTATGTTCTAGTCTATACACCTCCGAAAATTTGCTAGTCTCAAGATATGTATTTGTTTTCGAGAAATTTTATTTAGATGTATTCCCAAAATATACGTAGGTCCCTATATGAACAGAGACATTATCGGTAGAAACGTATTTCTTCTCGAGGTCTATTTGAGCTCGTGTATATTTTGTGCCTTGTGCCTTCAAGAAATTGTATCTTCCATATTTAACAGTAATTATTTACGATGTGTATATTATGATTTTTTACATAGCTGAAAATAGAAATTCTTCCACACTCCAATTTGTTTTAGTGTGGATGGTTGTCGTAATAAATAGTAACTGTAGGTGTCAGCACTCGTCTTGTTTACGAAATCTCATTCCATTAGCGTGTCTTCACCATTCCAAAATATTGTCTGTGATCACAACCCCGATAAGAATAATTTGCATCTAGAATTCTTCGGAGCTTTGCGCACTTTTTAATTTTAAATTTGTAGTTGGTGGCATTCTTAACATCGCTAGAGAGAGAGAGAACTTTTACTCAGATTATTTAACGCGTTATATCAGTAAGAAATAAAAATCAGTGTTTTATCTTTTTCGTAATAATAGTTTAGAGATTGATATTTTGATGTTGAGGTTTGTGATTGTAGGGGGCTTCTTGGAAATGTCTGTATAACGCTTAAATCGAAAAATTTTGTTGTTGAACTTCGTGTTGTCCTGGGGTTGCGTTCTTGGGCGATAATTTTCTGTAGTAAACTTTTGATTGCAGTATTTTTTGTATAATGTAGTCCTGAATAACTTTGTAGTTGTGTGCCATTAATCACTGTATTGAAAGTTTTTAGACATGTTTATTTAACTACAGTATTGGTACTCATAAAATAATGCTTCAGAATAACTCTTATCGGGCATTAAATTAGAGACTGGCTGTTTATTGAGGCTACATATTTGTAGGACGCAGAGGGAATAATGTAATTAACAGAGAATTTCTCTGATTTTTTTGCCGGTAATCTAAGTTTTATATAATTTTACTTTATTATATTTTTGTGGT